AAAAATGAAAGAGTTAAATACAAACTCACAAATAAATTATGTTTAAAAAGAAGGATGCTCATCCCTCCCTGCTAACTTCTTTCCTCCCTCCTTATTCTACCACATACTGCTATGACCTATGCTCTTGAGGTCATTCATGCTCTTGTGTCTGTATCGTGGGAATGAGGTCGAAACACCTGCTGTTGTGCGTTTCTTCTGGACTCAAATTCAGTGACTTCACCCTGGGACGGGGAGTCGTCCGCTCGGGCTGCCATAAGGAGATGCCACAGACCTGGCGGCTTAAGTATCAGGAATTTCTCTTGGTTCTGGAGTCCAGGAAGTCCAAGATCAAGATGCTGGCAAGGTAGGCTGCATTCTGAGATAAGCACTGATGAATGGCCTTGGTAGGAAGGGCTGTGGGAGGAGACAGGAGGTTGGGGAAGTTAAGCTGTTGGGGGAGCTGGGAAGAAGGACCATCCTTTGGGAAAGGCCCAAGCTCACAAGGCACACAGACCTGAGTGTCGTCCAGACTCTAGGCTTGCCCACTAGAGGAAACTGGAGCAAGTGAGGTGACCCCTCTGAACTTCATTTCTTCTTTTGATGGATGGGAATAAAATTCCTTTATCTTGGGGCACCTGGGTGGCTCGGTGGGTTAAGCCTCTGCCTTCAGATCAGGTCATGATCTCAGGATCCTGGGATCCAGCCCCGCATCCAACTCTCTGCTCAGCGGGGAGCCTGCTTACCCCCCTCTCTCTGCCTGCCTCTCTGCCTACTTGTGATCTCTCTCTGTCAAATCAATAAATAAAATCTTAAAAAGAAAAAAAATTCCTTTATCTCACAGGTTTGCACTGAAAATGGAAGGTAACAGCCAAGACAGGTCCTCCAAGTCCGTGTCCTTGCCCCAGGGCAGTGGTTCTTGATCTTCAAAAGTCTGGAGTGTGGCCCAGAGACTTCATTTTCACAAGTTCCCACATGTGGCTGGTCCATACTGTGATATGAGGTACATGTGTGTGGACGTGTTATAGGTATATGTCTAACTTTTTAAGGAATGGCTGAATATTTGCACCTCTGTGCATTCCCACCAGCAGTGGATGACATCCCCAGTTGCTCCACTTCCTTGCCAACACTTACTATCGGCTGGTCTTTCAGTTTGAGCCATTTAACAGATATGTGATGTGATCTCACTGTGGTTTTCTTTCACGTTTCCCTAGTGACTAATGCTGTAACACATGTTTTCATGTGGTCGTGAGCTGTATGTCTTCTTTGACAAAGTATCTTTTCAAATCATTAGCTCATGTTTACAATTGGGACTTTTTTTCACAAATTTTAAGAGTTCTTTGAATATTTGGGGTACAGAGCCTTGGTCAGTTACGTGATTTGTCAATATTGTCTCCCAGTCTGTAGCATCTCTCATTTTCTTGATGGCATCGTTTGAAGAACACATTTCATTTTGAGGGGCTCCAATTTGTCAATATTTTCTTTAATGCTTGAGTCTAAGAAATCTGTGCCTAACCCAAAGTCACAAGGATTTTCTTCTGTTTTTTTTTTACTGGATGTAAATAATTTTAGGACTTACATTTAGGCTGATGAATGATTTTGAGTTAATTTTTATAGATAGTGCAAAATATGAATTGAAGTTCATTTTTTAAATATAAATTTCCGGTTGCTCAAAAGACTGTAATTTCACCACTGAATGGCGTTTGCATCTTTGTTAGAAATAAACTGACCCCAGAATTGTGGATCTCTTTCTTTACTCCGTTCTGTTCCATTGAAATTATTTCTCTGTCTTGACACCAATACATTTTGATGACAGTAGCGTTATAGTAAGTCTTAAAGTCAGGTAGCGTAAACTTTGTTCTTCATTTTCAGTTTTTAGCCATTCTTAGCACTTTGAATTTCTGTAGGAATTTTAGAATTAGCTTGTCAATTTCTACAAAATAGCCTACTGAGATTTGGTTGAGATTGTGTCCTTTTTAAAAAATATTTTTATTTATTTATTTGGCAGAGAGAGATCACAAGTAGGCAGAGAGGCAGGCAGAGAGAGAAGAAGGGAAGCAGCCTCCCCGCTGAGCAGGGAGCCTGACGTGGGGCTTGATCACAGGACCCTGGGATCACGATCGCAGCCTAAGGCAGAGGCTTTAACCTGCTCCGCCACCCAGGTGCCCCGAGATTGTGTCTATCTACATATTAATTTGGGGCGAATTGACATCTGAACGGTATTGAATACTGCTCATACGTATGTATGAAATCTCCATTCGTTAATCTTTAATTTCTCTCAGGAATGTTTTATAATTATCATGTTCAGATCTTGTACATCTTCTATTTATTTCCAAGTATTTCATATTTTGAAGCTCTTGTGTTACCATTTTCATTTGACTTCCACTTTTTGTAGGTAAACAATTGATTTTCACATATTGCTCTTGTATTCTGTGACCTTGCTTAAATCACTTACAGCTCTAGTAGCTTTTTTTGTCCATTCCATTGGATCTTCTACATAAACAGTCAAGTCATCTGTAAATGAAGAGCTTTACTTTCTTTCTTTCCAATCTGGATGCCTTTTGGTTCAATTCCTTTTTTTTCTTTCTTTTTTTTCGGCTCGATTCTTATACTCACAGGGTTTTAATTTGTATTGGTGACTGAGCAATGACACACAGAGGGTCGTGACACTGAAAGGTTTTTATAACTCACATTTCCTGCAGAGAATGAAAATGCCATGCCAGGGAGGGCCACCTGGGGAAGCACTAGAGGAGGCAGAGGCAAGACCAAGGGGAAGGCCCAGACCTTAGCCTTTGGCGTGTTTTCCCCTGGCAAAACAAGCAAGGAAGTGAAAACATCTTAGGATTGGCTAGTTTAACTAATTCTGGTGGGTTGTGGGTTACAAGTACTATCTCTAGTTCTCTAGCACCTGGAACAGGATGAACTCAGGGCAGAGGAAATACTGGCTTGGTGGTAAGAGTTAGATGAAGGAGGTAGTTTAGAGGATGGGCCCTGGATTGATTAGTTTGCATAGGAAAGGCATGCTCCTAGGAATGCCCTTTGCTCTAAGAATAGGCTGGCCTTGGGAGGGACCATCTCTCCCCAGCCAACAAGGCCACAAGTGTCAGAGCATCAAGAATGCAGAAAGTTAAAAACAATTAGTTAATCAATTGCCCTGGTTGAATGAATGCCAAATACATAAATACAAAATCTAAGAAAACACAGACACTTTTCATTCTTTGTCTTGCTTTATTGCATGGGCTAGAACCTCCATCACAATACATGGAGGTAGTGAGACCAGGCATATTTGTCTTACTCCTGGTCTTGGGGGAAAAGGATGAATGGGGTACGGTACCCTGGAGTAAGAAGGGACTGGGGTAGTGATAGATGTGGCCAGTGAGGAGGAGAGAACAGAAACCTAGGAGAACTTGGGAGAAGATCTAAGGCGATATTTTCAAAAAGTGGTCCACCAAGGCACCTGCGTGTCTCAGTGGGTGAAGCCTCTGCCTTCGGCTCAGGTCATGGTCTCAGGGTCCTGGGATCTAGCCCTGCATCATGCTCTCTGCTCAGCAGAGAGCTTCCCCCTCTCTCTGACCCTCTGCCTACTTGTGATCTCTCTCTCTCGAATAAATAAATAAAATCTATTAAAAAAAAAACAACAAAACCTTGTTTAAAAAAAAAAAAAGTGGTCCACCACTCATAGCCCACTATCTCTCTCCCTTCATCACATGGCTTCTGACCCCTCGCCCATGACTACCCTCTGGACTAAAGAGCTATTTTTAGGCTCTGCCCATCTAGAAATCAACTCCAGGCCCTCCTGCTCCCAGAACCCCACTCCGTGAGTAGAGCCACAACTCAAGGCTGATGACTGGTCCTTCTCATTGCTTCCACTGCCAGAAGACGAGGCCAGTTCCTGTGATGAAATCATGCTCTCCCATCATCACCATCTGTGCAGTAAGCCAACGCCAACCTCACTGGGGACAGGGAGGGAGCAGAGCCTACTAGAACCTGCCCAGTGAGTCACCAAAGGTGCCAGCCCCACTCTCCCACCCCCACCTGCCACCAGTCACAAGCTGGCAGTGCCCTCCTTTGGAGATGGTCCAGAGACTGTCACCAGGGTGACTCTGTTGCTCTGGGCCTTATATCCCTCCTAGTCAAGGAAGGCTTTGGATGAGTCAGGACTTTCCCAGCTGTGGAGGGAATCACACAGGGAGCATTAGAAAAACATTACCTCCGGAGAGTCACCCTCCAGAACTCTGCTCTCAGGAGCTGAGGCCCAGAGGTTGTGTGGGACAACCAGACAGAAGCATCCAGAAGGAACAGAATGCTCTGTGGACTCAGCAAGACCGGAGTTTGGGTCCTGGGCCTCCCACCTGAGAGTCATGCAACCTAGGGCAGGTCTCCTCTGAGCCTTGGTCTCCTCACCTAGAGTGGAGAACAGAAGGACCTACAGATATGGTCTTGCATCCTGGGGGGTCAATGAATGGCCTCCAGAAGGCCCACCCTCGCCTCTTAACCACAGGGAGGTTGTGAGATTGCACAAAAGGATCTGATCAGGGTAGGGAAGGGGTCTGGTAGGCCTGGGTCCTGCACAGGACAGCAGGGGAGGGGCTGAAGGGGAACCCCTGCCGGGAAGGAAGAGGGACAAGAGCAAGCTGGGTGTTCCTGGTGCTGGGGCCGGAGGTCGATGGCATCTGACCACCAGTGGTTCCCTCCTCCTCTCTTCTCAGAGACTCCTCACTGCCTATCCTCTCGCTGGCAGACCTGGAGCTGAATCTGCTGGCGCCCCTTCCCCTGGGAGGACAGACAGAGGCCCAGAGATACTCAGCCAGTGAAAAGGAGAGCTAGAGAGACAGAGAGTGACTCCTAAGGAGAGGTAGAGGTGCTGGCAGTGGCCAGGAGTGGAGGCAGAAGAGGAGAGGCCACACATGTCCAAGGTCAGAACCATGGCCCTCAGCATGAAGATAAAGGCTGGGGGCCTCTGTCATGGCTCTCTGGGCTCTGACCACAAGGAAGCACTTTTGCAATACAGGAAAAGAAGAAACCAGATTGATAAAGGAAGTGCTGGTCACCCTGGCGACGGGTGAGTTTGGGGAAGGCTCTCACCCTCCCTTGCTCTTCTGAAGGGGCCTGATCCACGCTCTCTGGGTGTCTCCCATCTCCCCAAGGAGGCACGGCCTAGGGCCTCCCCTCTGGCCTTGAGGGAGCTGCTGTCGTCTCCTCCCTGAGGAGGAGAGTGAGACAATGGGACTGTTCCTGCTGCTGTCTCTGCTGCTGCTGCCATCATGTCTGCAGGCCGGTGAGTGTCCGGGACATCTTGGCTCTGTCCTGAGGCCCAGCAAGTCCCCAGCAAGGGCTGTGGCTGGGCAGCTGGAGAGGGGGTCTGCTGGGGGAGCTGGCCAGGCCTCCCGGCCCCCGCAAGAGACGGGCTGGTCCCATAGTGCTGGTCAGCCCCAATCCTTCACCCTCCTCCCTACCCCATGCCTGGGGAGGGGAACACCCAGGCCAGAGAGCCAGTCCTACTATCTGTCCCACTACTGCCCATGGGGGAGGGTGTCAGAAGGGCTGGGGTTATCCTCTTCATCTCTCCCAGTGGCTTCAAGTCTCACCTCTCCCCGCTCCTGCAGGTAGCTCAGCAGAATGTGATCCAAGTACTAGCTATGGAATCAACCAAACCGACCACCTCTCAGCCCCCAAGGGTGGCTCCGTCCGCATCCGTTTCTCCTTCTATCACGACTGGGAGTTAGCCAAGGATCCCAGAGTGAGTGTAGCCTTGAGACGGACACACTTCCATGGGGAGTTCATCTACAACAGTACTCGGCGTTTCATCCATCCGGACTACAAGAACCGGATCTCCCTTGAATTGTCAGTGGGTCAGAGGACTGGCTCCCTGCAGATATCGAACCTGCAGGAGAAGGATGGGAATATGTACTTTTGCCGGATCCAAGTGGAAACATTAAGATGCGGCAAGAGGTTGTGGCAGGCCCTGGAAGGAACCAAACTCACCATCACCCCCGGTGAGTCCAGCTGCCCCAGCAGCCACCACGCTCACCCTGAGGCTCCTAAAGGCCAGGGTGCCCGCATCCCCCAGGCCTGGCCCAGGCCCCACTCTTCCTGTGTGCCCTTCTCTCAAACTCCTCTCCCCACACCACCTCCTCCCCAGCCCTCTGACGACTTTACTCTTTCTCTGCCATCTCCCCAGGCCTGGGCTGCTCTCCTTGCCACCCTCTCACTGCTCTCTCCAGATCCAGGCCCCACTCCCCCAGCCTCAGCACCTTCTGGGCTCCCCAGTTATCCTCCCTTCTTGCCCTAAGCAAGGAGGGGGGGCCTCCAGCCTGTCTCCCTGCCCTTGCCCCCAGGCCGTCCTGACTTCTTCAGGATGTGAGCTGCCTTCCCTTTGTCATGCATCCATGTGCACAGCCCCAGCCAACCCTAGTCTTGTGTCTCCCCAGCCATGGGCTCAGCCCAGCACACCCAGCAGGTACCCAAAGATGACCCACCTGAGAGCCCGGTCCCCTGACAACGCCCCATGACCTGTTTTCCTGATCCCCCCACTTCCTTCTCCTGCTCTGCTCCTTGGAACCCAGACCACAATGCTCCCCACCCAGTCCCATCCCTCCTCTCCTTCCCCATCTCCCTCCTCCCCTGCCTCCATACTCCTTACCCTCCTTGCTCCCCCATCCCTAGTCCCTGCCTCTGCCTGTACTGTCCCTGTTGTTCCCTTTGATCTTGCCCCTCCCTGCTGGCCTTTGAGAGGCACGGCTGCAGCAGAAGTACAGCCGCTCCCGCTCCCACTCACTGTGCCCTGGGCGTGAACAGCTTGGTATGTGTCACCTGTGGTTAACCTGCCCCAGGGCCCTACAGTAACAGCAGGTACTGCCCTCCTCTTCCTGCTACAGATAGGGACACGGAGGTTTGAACAGCCTAAGGACCCGCCCAAGGCTACCATCGTGGTGCAGGTGGGACTTGAACCCAGTTTAACCCTGGAGCCTCCGCTTAACCAGTAACTGCTCAGCCTCACCAGCTGACCTGATGCTATCATTGTCTTGACCTATTGTTCATGAATAATGGGATGTGCTACATTACTTGATCCTCCATGTAACTCAGCAGCCCGTGGGAACTTGAACCTGGGTTGGTCCCCACAGCAGGGGGGAGGGCATCTCTCCCAGGAGCAGGCACTGGGGGTGCGCTGTCTGTAGACATCCTTAAAAACAAAAAACCGGGGGTTTGCTTTTTCCAGCTACTCAAGCTGGCAGTTCCACACTACACATCACCGCTCCTGGCGGGAAGGTCACCGTCTGTGTCCCCAGCCCTGGTAACCACTGCCCCGCAGGACCACTGCGCTGGTTTTAGAGCAAATAGAAAATGGCTCACGACTGAATTAGGCCAGACAGGCTTGGGTTTATATTTCGGGCACCTCCTGCATCTTCCCGTAAGTGGCCATTTCGGGGAGATTTTGGCTCTTCTCAGACCCCTCCTCCTCTTCCTTCCTTAATTCTCCTAACTCTTCTCATTTCTCAGTTTCAGTCACATTCGCTCTGAGTTCTTCAGCAATAAATTATTTTTTTCAATTAGTACAACTAATTGGATATTCATGCTCATATTTTTTTTTAAAGATTTTATTTATTTATTTGACAGAGAGAGATCACAAGTAGACAGAGAGGCAGGCAGAGAGAGAGAGAGAGAAGCAGGCTCCCTGCCGAGCAGTGAGCCCGATGCGGGACTCGATCCCAGGACCCCGAGATCATGACCTGAGCCGAAGGCAGCGGCTTAACCCACTGAGCCACCCAGGCGCCCCTCATGCTCATATTTTTTAAAATATAGGGAAGTAATAAAAAGAAGTTTAACTTAAGTGAAGTATCACCACACAAAAACATCACCCAAGGGAAATTTGCAGCAAATAGAACTGAGAAGTCTGTGGTTGGCTTAATCGTGCTTTTTACATACAGATGTTTTCTTTTTATCAAAATATCACTGTATTCTCCTCTGTAAATTCCTCTTTTTATGTCTTAGCCCAAAATCCTGTATTCTGCTAGGGCTGAAAATATTTTATTTTCTTCTGATTTTTGTATGCTTTCTTTTGACAGTAAAACTCACTGATCTAGCGAGGATTTCTTTTGGTATATGGTGTGAGGTAAAGAACTAAATTGATTTTCATAGCAAGAAACAAATCAATCGTCCCAACTGCATTTATGGAATCTTTTTTCTCTTCTCCATTGACTCATAGGCCTGGCCTTTTTGTAGGATAGCACCCACTTCTGGTCTGTCAACCCCATTTCCCTGTCTTTTCTCTTGTCGCTACCACACTGTTCTAGGGATTGTAACTTGTCATGGTTCAGTGGCTGGTAAGTCTATGTCCATCAGAACCACGTTACTTCCTCAAAAACCTTACTATTATTTTGGTCTGTTGTTTCACATGAATATTAGAATAAGCTCACCAAGTTCTGAATAAAACACTTAGAGGTATTTTTAAAACCAGAATTGCATTAAACCTATAAGGCAATTGAGAGAAACGGAAATCAGTGTAAGTCCAATCTTCCCACCGGAATGGCCCCTAATTTATATTCCTCAATAACCTCCGCAGTGTTCTTCCACAAATCATGTAAATATCTCACAAGATGCTTTCCTCTAAATCCTCTATTTTTTTTACTAATATGCAACATTATTTTTTGAATGTTCATTTTCTTTAATTTTCACTAGAAAACATTACATAAATTCGGGCCAAATGCTGGGTTATATGCACATTTACCTCTCCTCCCTACCAATCTCTACTAAAATGACAGCAAAGGGAATTTTTTTAAAAAATTTTTATTTTTTAATAAACATATAACGTATTATTAGCCCCAGGGGTAAAGGTCTGTGAATCGCCAGGTTTACATACTTCACAGCACTCACCATCGCACATACCCTCCCCAATGTCCATAACCCCACCACCCTCTCTCTAACCCCCTCCCCCCGGCCCCCCTCAGTTTGTTTTGAGAAGAGTCTCTTATGGTTTGTCTCCCTCCCGATCCCATCTTGTTTCATTTATTCTTTTCCTACCCCCCAAACCCCCCACGTTGCATCTCCACTTCCTCATATCAGGGAGATCATATGACAGTTGTCTTTCTCCGACTGAATTATTTCGCTCAGCATAATACCCTCTAGTTCCATCCACGGCGTTGCAAATGGCAAGATTTCATTTCTTTTGATGGCTGCATAGTATTCCATTGTATATATATACCACCTCTTCTTTATCCATTCAACTCTTGATGGACATCTAGGTTCTTTCCATAGTTTGCCTATTGTGGACATTGCTGCTATAAACATTCGGGTGCATGTGCCCCTTTGGATCACTACGTTTGTATCTTTAGGGTAAATACCCAATAGTGCAATTGCTGGGTGGTAGGGTAGCTCTATTTTCAACTTTTGGAGGAACCTCCATGCTGTTTTCCAGAGTGGCTGCACCAGCTTGCATTCCCACCAACAGTGTAGGAGGGTTCCCCTTTCTCCACATCCTCGCCAGCATCTGTCATTTCCTGACTTGTTAATTTTAGCCATTGTGAGGTGGTATCTCATTGTGGTTTTTTTTTTTAATATTTTATTTATTTACTTGACAGATAGAGATCACAGTAGGCAGAGAGTCAGGCAGAGAGAGAGAGGAGGAAGCAGGCTCCCCGCTGAGCAGAGAGCCCTATGCGGGGCTCGATCCCAGGACCCTGGGAACACGACCTGAGCTGAAGGCAGAGGCTTTAACCCACTGAGCCACCCAGGTGCCCCTCATTGTGGTTTTGATTTGTATTTCCCTGATGCCGAGGGATGTGGAGCACTTTTTCATGGGTCTGTTCACCATCTGGATGTCTTCTTTGCAGAAATGTCTGTTCAGGTCCTCTGCTCATTTCTTGATTGGATTATTTGTTCTTTGGGTGTTGAGTTTGCTAAGCTCTTTATAGATTTTGGATACTAGCCCTTTATCTGATATGTCATTTGTGAGTATCTTCTCCCATTCTGTCAGTTGTCTTTTGGTTTTGTTAACTGTTTCCTTTGCTGTGCAAAAGCTTTTGATCTGGATGAAGTCCCAATAGTTCATTTGTGCCCTTGCTTCCCTTGCCTTTGGCGATGTTCCTAGGAAGAAGTTGCTGCCGCTGAGGTCAAGGAGGTAGCTGCCTGTGTTCTCCTCAAGGATTTTGATGGATTCCTGTCTCACATAAAGGTCCTTCATCCATTTTGAGTCTATTTTTGTGTGTGGTGTAAGGAAATGGTCCAATTTCATTTCTCTGCATGTGTCTATCCAATTTTCCCAACACCATTTGTTGAAGAGGCTGTCATTTTTCCATTGGACATTCTTTCCTGCTTTGTTGAAGATTAGTTGACTATAGAGTTGAGGGTCTATTTCTGGGCTCTCTATTCTGTTCCATTGGTCTGTGTGTCTGTTTTTGTGCCAGTACCATGCTGTCTTGATGATGACAGCTTTGGAATAGAGCTTGAAATCTGGAATTGTGATGCCACCAACTTTGGCTTTCTTTTTCAATATTCCTTTGGCTATTCAAGGTCTTTTCTGGTTCCTTATAAATTTTAGGATTCTTTGTTCCATTTCTTTGAAAAAACTGGAAGGGATTTTGATAGGGATTCCATTAAATGTGTAGATTGCTCTAGGTAGCATAGACATTTTCACAATGTTTGTTCTTCCAATCCATGAGCATGGAACATTTTTCCATTTCTTTGTGTCTTCCTCAATTTCATTGACGAGTACTTTATAGTTCTCTGAGTAGAGATTCTTTGCCTCTTTGGTTAGGTTTATTCCTAGGTATCTTATGGTTTGGGGTGCAATTGTAATGGGATTGACTCCTTAATTTCTCTTTCTTCTGTCTTGTTGTTGGTGTAAAGAAATGCAACTGATTTCCGTGCATTGATTTTATATCCTGACACTTTACTAAATTCCTGTACAAGTGCTAGCAGATTTGGGGTGGAGTCTTTTGGGTTTTCCACATATAGTATCATATCATCTTCAAAGAGTGATAGTTTGAGTTCTTCTAGCAAAGGGAATTTTAAAAGACAAAATCCACAAGGACAAAAAAAGTATGTGAGTCACGTGGTCAAAAACAGTATTTGGGAAGCTGGAAACACGTAGACTAATGTACCTGGCCTAGGAGACCAGGGGAGCTTAGCCCTAAACCAGCAGTGGGGAGACCCGGAAGAAAGGCAATTTTTTAACTACAAAACCCCCCTGACAGTTCAGCAAGGGCGGCCCCAGAATGCCTGACAGTGGGAGTGCAAGGGCATCAGAAAGCTGGAAGATTGGGCGAGAATCTATTGAAGAAGCAGGGAAACCTCTGGGCCTCCTCCCCGCCCAGCAGAGACTGGAGATTTGCTTTCCAGAAAGGATGCAGGAGAGGGACTTTGGGGGCACTACCCTAGGCATACTGGGGGCAAGGGACCAGTCCTTCAAACTGGAGATTTGGTGAACTGATGAGACCCTAATCGCCCAGCCCCCTTAGATGCCTCCCAGTTCTCAGGCAACCCAGCTGGTATCCCCCATCCCCCTAAGGGCAAGAAATCAGGAGATTCTTCTCTGGGAAATTTATCTGGTGGAAACCCCAAAGCATCCAGAAATCCTAACAGATCCTACAGCCCAGTAGCAGACAAGCACTTTCTCCCAGGCCTCCAGTCAGCGTGGCTTCTGCACATCGGCCTCCAAGAGGACAAGGACATGGGGTCTTGGCCTCTCCGGGAATTCCCCAGCCCTGAGGATTGTCTCTTCTGTGCCTGGGATGCCTGAGGCTAGAGTTTAGGGATCCCTATTTGTCAGCGATGAAATGAGGTTCTGAGGTCACACCACTGATGGGAGGTAGAGTCAGCATCTAAGCTGGGTGATGTGGATTCATTACTCCCTCCCTGTGTGACAGCTTCAGAGAGTCGTCCCCCCCGCAGTGTTCCCCAAAGTAGGGAACAAGATGTGACAGTTTCATCCAGAAACCTCCAGTCCTCCAGGGGAGAATCTGCTAAATTTTCATGTCTTCTCAGCTCTCAAGACGACCACCGCTGCCCCCACCATCCATGGCCCCTCCACCACTGGCCCCACCACCACTGGCCTCAGTGTCTTGGAAGGCAATAGGAGCTCAGCATCTTCACCCATGAGTGTGGAACCTGTGGTCATAGTGACACTGGCCAACACTGTGCTCAAAACTGCAATTTTGGGACTGATACTCTGCCTCAGGTGGAAGAGAAGCAAAGGTAAGTGGTTCCGGGCCATGGTCCCCACCGAGCTTCCCAACTGGGTGTTTCTCAGAACCACCTACATCAGAATGATGCCGGGTCATTCTGCTTTAAAAAATATAGTTCCCTGGGACACGTGGGTGGCTAAGTGGGTTAAGCCTCTGCCTTCGGCTCTGGTCATGATCTCGGGGTCCTGGGTTTGAGCCCCATATGGGGCTCTCTGCTCAGCCGGGAGCCTGCTTCTCCCTCTCTCTCTGCCTGCTTGAGATCTCTCTCTCTCTCTCTCTATCTGTCAAATAAATAAAGTAAATCTTTAAATTATCTATCTATCTATATATAGCTCCCTGCTGGGCTTGAGGTCTGGGCTTGGGACTCTGCATTTTTCTTTTCTTTTTTTTATAAGATTTATTTATTTTCTAAAGATTTTATTTATTTGACAGAGAGATCACAAGTAGGCAGAGCAGCAGGCAGAGAGAGAGGGGGATGTAGGCTCCCCGCTGAGCAGAGAGCCCGATGCGGGGCTGGATCCCAGGACCCTGGGATCATGACCTGAGCCCAAGACAGAGGCCTTAACCCACTGAGCCACCCAGGTGCCCTGGTATCTCCAATTTAAAAGTCAAGTGCTTATGTGTGCGTAATCAAGTTTGGGAACCGGTGCTCCAGACCCTGGAGCAGGGTGACTGGAGATAACAAATGAAAATAAAGCATAGGTCCTGCTTTCAAGGAGCTCAGAGCTGGAGGGAGGGGACATCTTTGCCTCATTTGCAAAGAGCTGTGTAGGTCTGGAGAAAGGAGGAGAATCAGAGAGGACTTCCCATAGGAAGTGACCCTGTAAAATATGAGAACTAGCCATGCAGTGAGGGTAGTGAAGAGGTCACTATCCATATAGGGGCAGGAAGTCAGTGAGGAAACTGTAGGTAGCTCAGTGCTGTGCAAGAGGCTGGTGATGGGAGAAGAGAACCTTGGAAATGACTCCCAAGAGCCTCTAATCCCAGAGGCAACGTGAAGCAGGGAAGTGGCAACCTCAGCTCTGCCTTCCGGATCCATCAGTCTGTGCAGGTGGGGCCAGAGGTGGGGCCAGAGGTGGGCCAGGCAGGGCCAGTCTATGGCAGTGGGTGGAGGGAGAGAGCCAGATCCTGGAACAGTTTAAGAAGGAAAACCAGTAAGACTTGGGGATTGGACTGGCATAGAGGCAAGGGATTAGGAAGAACTAGGGTGAATGAGTCCATGGGGAAACCACCAAGCAAATTAGAGAACACAGGGGTCAAGACCATGTTTGGGGGAGGACGATGGTTCCTTAGTCTGGGATATGTTGGAGATGTGCCTGTGTGGTCTCTGCGTAGAGATGTCCCTCAGCAGTGTGGGTGTCTGCATCTATAGCTCAAGAGGACAGGGCTAGAGGCGTTCATCATTTACACCCCACCAGCCTCCAGTATTGATCTGAAATTCCTCTGAAGAAAACTTTCAGTGAGAGGAGATTAGCTGCGGGAGATACTAAAGCACAGAGTGAAGAGCACAGAGTCCGGACGGCTGCAGTCAGGTTCTGGCTGCGGAAACTCCGGTGCAGCGGTACTATTACTCCCTGCCCCAGCTCACACGTCGGTAAAACGAGAAGAGTCACACTCACCCCGGGGGTTGTCCTGACAATCACATGGAACGCATCGAGAGTAGATCCTGGCACAGAATAAGGACCATATGAGCATTAGTGCCTGCAATTTTAAGCTGTAATGATTAAAATGATTCGATCCTGTCCTATGAAAACACAGATAAACCAATATCCGAGAAGAGAAAAGCCCCAATATAGGCAGGATGAAACAGATCAAAATAAATTCAGGAATTTAGTAGGCTAATAAGCAGCATTTCTAATCAATGGGGAAAGATGAGAGTCACTCAGCACACGGTGCTGGAACAAGTGAGCAGCCATCTGGAGAAAATAATATTATCTCATAATTCGCACCAAAATAACTTCCACAGAGATCAATCAAAGAGTTAAATGAGGGGGAAAATAACCCCATACTCGAGGAAAGCATGTGAGACCATCTTATGTCAATGCAGTGGAGATGCCCTCCCTAAGTATGATGTAAAACCTAAAAGCCATGAAGAAAAATATTGACAAACTCAACATATACAAATTGCTCTTCATTCTGCAGAGGAAAAGTCACAGCAGTTGTCTCTAGAGTGAGGCTGAGGGTCGGAGAGGAAGAGCTGTGACAGTCACTGAGGGAACAGAAGATGGTATTTCAGGATTCCACCCAGATGAGATGCCAGAGCTCTGTAAAAGCATCACTGCGCATGATCATGTCTCCCCCATGCAGGTGTAGAAACTTCTAGAATGGTTGGTTAGAAGTTATGTTCCCCTGCTGGCATCAGAGACAAAAAGTAACAGGGCTTACCTAAGACAGAGTTCCTTGTTTCCCCTCACAGAAAAGGATGAGGAGGTGGATGGCAGAGGCTGCTGTCCTCAAGCACTCAGGCTTCTAACTTCCTGCTCACTGTCCTGGCTCCTGTCTTCTATCCTGAAGGTTGCCTCCTGATCCAAGATGGCTGCTCAGACTCCAGCCATCATTTCAGAATCCAGGCAGGAAACAGGAGGAAGGAAGAAAGGACAAAAAGACCATCCTGCAGCTGTTTGTCCTTTAAACAGTCTTCCTGAAAATCCTACCCACAACTTCCCCTTGAATCGTATTGGCGAGGATATAGTCATTTTCCCCACATCTATCAGTAGGGGAGCACGCTGCCACCCCAAATAAAGTCAAGGTTCTATAACTGAGTAGAAAGAAATGAATGGAAATTGGGTAAGCAAAGAGCATTCGCTGTCATAGGCCTCATCCAGAATTAGAGATGTGTCAACTAAGTGTGGCCTAAGGACAGGGGAACGGGAGAGGTCAAGGAGCTCGTGCGAGGGGGGAATGCAGAGGAGAGGATCAGCAGGGAGCTTGGACAGCCTGAAAGAAAGTGGATTATTAAGGGACAAGAGTTCATGGGGTCAAAGCACAGGCATAGCAAGCAGGATGATAATAGGAGAAAGCTGGAAGGAAAGAAAGTTGTAGCATAGAAATGATGCTGGCATTTAATTTCGGAGTTCTCAGTCCCAGAGATTAAAAAAGAAAAAAGTCCAGGGTATGGTGGGATAGAGGGTCCTGGAGTTTGGGGGACGCAGGAGTCCCGTGTGTCCACAGGGTTGTCTCCGTGGATGGTGGGACCTCCTAGATGGTGTTGGGTGGTGGAGGGCATGTCTGTGAAGCAGGGGCCAATCCTAGGGAAACACTGCAGATAGACTGGGTGGGGGGGGGGATGAGAAGAGAAGAGGGGGGCGGGGAGACTGGCAGGTTTCAGTGGGGGAGGCCAGAGAGGAACGGGCCGCAGCTCAGACCCAGGTCCCAGCCATGAGGCTAGCAAGGCAGGAGAGAAACAGCTGCCGCTCCCGTCCACGGTCTCACCCCCGTCTCCTTCCTTCTGGCCAGGATGAAGCCCAGGACGACAGCCCCACCCTCTATGACTCCCCCACCCTCCCCAGCTCCTCGCCACCAGCAGCACCTCCCTGCCTCCCTCCCAAGGAGGGCCCCCAGGAGGAGACACTATATTCTCCCAGAAAGGCCTGACGAGTGGGACTGGAGGATGACTTCCTTAGACTGAGCTGCCCAGCGGGTCACAGCCTCTGATAAGGACCCCGGCCAGACTGGAAGACTCAGAAGCCAGTGGGTGTGGAAGGCCTCCAAGGACCACAGACAGAGCCATCTGCTCCAACCCCCTCTCCACCTTCCCAGCCCTTGCCCACAAGAGTCTGGTAGAATTTGCCCGAAGGCATCTAAGGAGAAAACTGATGGCTCCTTCCATTTCTGTCTTCTCATCACGAATGAATTCTAATAAAGGGTCACACCCGAGATCCCTCCCCTAGTACTGGAGTTGGGTGACTGCCTCAGGGGCGGGACACAATAAACCCCGACGCTGGCAGTCAGCCCAGAAGCCAGGGTCTGGCCCTCCTCTACCCCTTCCCCTTCCCCTCTGATCAGAACGAACACGCACGTGCCAAGTGCACCACCTCATTTAGGTGCCTCCAACAAGCTGAGCCCAGACTGGATGCGCTCACCCGAGCCCTGAACAGGACCACAGGGGTTAGCGCTTTTCTCCAGGCCACACGCCTAGTAAGTGGCTGAGCAGGGGTCTGAACCCAGACCTGCCCTCCCCAACGACGGCCTTCTCCCAAGACTCAGGCGTCCCGGCCCTCCCAGATCCCTCAGACTGTGCCAGCCTCCCACAGACACAGGGACGTGCCCCAGGGAGCGGAGGGGAGGGAGGGAAGCCGAAGGGAAGCACGGGGTTAGAGACCAGCTGTGGAGAGCGGTAACCTGTTTTATTAACACGGGAACTGCACAGCTAGGACTTCAGCCAGTTGACCTGTAGCCGGTGACCAAGCCCCACACTTGGCAGCTTCTCAGGGACCCTCTGAGGGGTTCTCCCTGCTGCGAGCAGGGCAGGGGGTGAGAGAGCAGCAGGGACCCGGTGCACACAGCTATTCCTCGAAGGCGGCCAAGGTGAAGTCCCCAGCATCATCTCCACACCACGGCTCCTCCAGCTGCTCTGGCTCTTTCCCAACATCTTCCAGGAACTGCTCCAGGTCCAGGTCACTGGAGGCGTCATCGTCAGGGGGGACACCTCCAGCCTCCTGAGGCCGGGCTCCTGGGGTCCCGGCCCTTCTTCCCCCCTCCCCCCACCCCCACCATGGGACCGGCCCGGGATGAGCTGATGGGGTCGGGCCCTTGGGCATCATTCTAGCTTCTTTGTCCTCAGACAAGCTGGTTGCTTGCTTTGGGGAACTTCTTGTTATTTAGCCCTATTATTTTTTTCTCCCTCCTACAGCTTTGACCCATCAATTCTCATCCTACCCTGGGATCCCTGCCCCAAAGCCCCCTGGCAAGACACCTGGAGCTTACCGTAGGAAGAAGTGAACAGGGAGGACTTTGAGTGGTGCCCCTGTGTTTGCAGATCGGACAGGATACTGGAGCTTCTCCAGAGCCTGGGCAGGGTCAGACACTGATGTCCTGGGCAAGGAGTCAGAGCTGGGCCACAGGGAACAGATGCCCAGAGAAATCAGGAAAAGAGCATTGTTTATCACATGGTGTTACAGACAAAACACCAAGTTCTGGAGCATTCAGAGAAACATTTTTCTCAGTTTCTGCTCTCAAGGGACACAGTGGTGAGAGGACGTTACCCAAAAAAATAACCAACACCAGCCCTATCTACTGCTGAATAATACAGGGAATGCGTTACAAGAGTTTAAAGTAGGGGTGGAGGGGTGCCTGGGTGGCTCAGTGGGTTAAAGCCTCTGCCTTCGGCTCAGGTCATGATCCCAGGGTCCTGGGATCGAGCCCCACATCGGGCTCTCTGCTCAGCGGGGAACCCGCTTCCTCCTCTCTCTCTCTCTGCCTGCCTCGCTGCCTACCTGTGATCTCTATCTGTCAAATAAATAAATAAAATCTTAAAAAAAAATAATAAATAAAGTAGGGGTGGAAAATTCAGAGGGCGCTTTTCTGTAGGAGATGAGCTGAGTTGAGCCTGGATGGTTGGGATGGTACAGGAGAGGGACGACAGCAGGAAAGAAAGCGGGATCAGAGGCCTGCGGGAGGAGGAGGAAGGAGACAGGCAGGCAGACCCAGCCCAGCTAGAGCAGAGTTGGTTTTAGGACTGGGAGAGGAAGTTTGGCTTATGCTGCAGAGAAGGTGGAGCCCCTGAATATCTGTGAGTAGAAGCATCTAACCATATGGGTCAAGTTTTCCCAAGAGTTTACCCAAAAGGGAAGCTGGAAGAAACTTCTAAGAGGATAATCACCCTGGGCCTCACCGTCCAAGGCTGCCTTCCCACGGTTCCTTCAGCCTCTCTAATGGGTCATTTCCACGAGTGTTTTTATCCTCCCAGGACTCCTTTTGCTGTGACTGAAAGCAGAAAGCAGCTCAGGCAGCAAAGGGGGGATTAGCCCAGGTTTCTTTTTTTCTTTTTTTTAAAGATTTTATTTATTTATTTGACAGATCACAAGTAGGCAGAGAGGCAGGCAGAGAGAGAGGAGGAAGCAGGCTCCCTGCTGAGCAGAGAGCCCGATGCGGGGCTCGATCCCAGGAGCCTGGGATCATGACCTGAGCGGAAGGCAGAGGCTTTAACCCACTGAGCCACGCAGACGCCCATAGCCCAGGTTGCTGAAGAACGCAGGGGTTGGTCTGGTTTTCAGAGCTCTAGCTAGTCTCTCTCAAGATCTTTTTCTCTGAACTGCTCATTTCTGCCCCCTACTGTTCAGTTTCATCCTTGGCCTCCACTGGGTCTCAGGGCCCATGGGCTCTTCCCACAAGGTGGCATATGACCTATTTTCTCAAGTCAGTTTTTTAAGTTTTTATTTTTTTAACTTTTTAAAAAAGATTTTATTTATTTGACAGAGAGAGGGATCACAAGTAGGCAGAGAGGCAGGCAGAGAGAGAGGGGAGAAGCAGGCTCCCTGCTGAGCAGAGAGCCCAATGCGGGGCTTGATCCCCGGACCCTGGGATCATGACCTGAGGCGAAGGCAGAAGCTTAACCCACTGAGCCACCCAGGCACCCCTACGTTTTTATTTAAATTCCAGTTAGCTAACAGTGGAGTATTGGTTTCAGGTGTACACATCGTGATATATGTAACTATAGGGATTCAACAGTTCCGTACCTTTCCCATGTCAGTCTTTCAGGGAAGAACTACTTTTTTCCACTAACTCCAGCAAAACCCCTCAGATGGCCACGCCTCAACTAGCTTAGGTGACCTGTCCATCCTGGAGACAATCAGTGTGGCCAAAGAGATGTGTTGCTCTCTACATGACCAGACCTGAGTCATGGGCAGAGGACCACGTTCTGGAAAAAGAGAGTCAGGACTGGAGTTCATATTTGTATGAGTTGAACATGCATTGTTCTACATAACCCCCATCTGCCCCTTTTTCATCCTCCCTACAGCCCTGAAGGTGTTGGAGCTGCACTCCACATATCAGCCAGGGTCCCCGAAGGCCACAGTGCTGCACTGATGGGCCCACAGCTGGCGCCTGTACTCTCTTCCACACACCAGTAGCCTCCTGGCACTGCGTGGCCCAGAAGCTAGAAGAGCTGGCCAAGGGCCCCCACGGCATGGTAGTTCTGAGGCTGGGTCCCCCACATGGCCACCTTCACTCCATTTGTCTTTATTTGGTGACTGGCAGGGATCTGGGCAAGCTGTGGCTGAACTGTTGGCCTGGGAACCCCGCACTCTGTGGTCATCAAACTGGGCAACACCGACTCCAAGTCTGTGTGTGGGGCAGCTGCTGGTTTCCCCTCTAGGTGAACCGGCCCCTCTGCGCTGCATTTGGGGACCTCCACCTGGCCTTTGTGGACACCAGGGAAATAACCCCCAGTCAGGCCCTGCCCCGTGGTACCTGCCCCCCCCAGGGTGGTTCATCTGCAACAAGGTGGATTTGCTCCTCTCCTTCATCTGCCCCATCTGAGTGCTTCTGTGGGTCCTGGGACTGTGTGCATGGAGGGCCTGGGACACAGTTGTGAAGAGGACCAGAGCCATATAGGAATTCTAGGATAAAAGTGGGTGTCACTGACTTCTCTGGCCTGAAAGGCCATAGTAGTTTCTTAACCAGTCCAGCCCATTCTATTTTTGTCCTACTCTGACCACTTCTCTACTCAGAACAAGAGTAGTTACTTCATTTTTTTTTTTTTTTTTAAAGAGTAGTTACTTTAAATGAGACCGCCATTAGCCTGCTCAAAAGCCAAAGCCAAATTTATATCTCAGTATAAATCCAAAGCCCTAACTGTGGTCCGTGATGGCCCGGCCGAAAACTACATCATTTGTTGTCACTCTCCTCTGCCGTCCAACCCCATGCTCTTCTTCCTGCTCAAGCAAGTCAAGTCGTCCTGCCTCAGGACCTTTATACCTGCTGTTCCTCTGCCTGGAATGCACATCTGCCAGACCCTCATATGGCTGGCTTTCTTCCCATTCAGCTCCCTGATTAAAAATCGTCTCCTCATAGGCTTTTCCTGACCACCTTAAATAAGCCATCTTCCCATCCAGGCACTCTACCACTGTCTTGCTCTCCTTTTCTTTCATATCACTAAACACAATCTGTAATTATCTGGTTTACTATTATTAGTTGTCTGTCTCTCCAGAGTGTAAGCTCCATAAGGAACAGGGAGTTTGTCTAGCTTGCTCACTGTTGCATCCCCACGACCTAGGGTAGTGCTGGAACCATTCCTCCAATGAACAACAGATGGATCAAAGGCAGGTGACTAAGGTGTTACTTCTGTGCCCTGCACCTTCTCTCAGCAAGCCTGCATCTTGTGAGAAAGAAGCAATTGGCCGGAGTGCCCCCCTGGTGCAGTTGTTAATTACCAAATTTGCATGATTATCTCCATTAAGGATTTGCATTTACCTTAGGGCTTTATGATTTTCCACGCAGTTTCCTATTTTTATTTTGGACGACCCTCCCAAGAACATTCTCCCACTTTACGGGGAACCCCCCCCCCCCAAGAGGTGGCACTCGGCTTGAGCCAGTCCTTGGTCCTAGTTTGGTTGCAGAACCAGTGATAGAGATGACTGTCCTCGCTGGAAAACCGGCCTCTTGCAAGGGGGCTGGAAGCGATCACACTGACCTCTGGTCTTCTGGACATCAGTTCCGTGGCTGAGGGGCTTCTCTGACCACCCTAAAGGGGGCTCCGTGACCAGGCACGACTACGTCCGCAGTACCTAGGACCCTCTTCCGGCTCCGCTCCTGGGCCACCCGGTCTTCGCTCAGCGCTTGCCATGAGTCTTCGTCTCCGCTGCGTTCAAACACGTCGCCTGCCACCACCACGGTGCCCAGGGCCGTGCCCGCCACCACCACGCTTACGTCTCGCTGGCCCCCATGGCCCGGCGTGGCCCACACCTCGAGCCCGGGGCCCAGCTGCAGGGGCCGCTCCTCACCTAGCCCGTGCGGGAGGTAGCGGCCTCCGGGGAGGCAGAAGTCGTGCGAGACCAGCAGAGCCGCCCCAGGAAAAAGCCCCAGGTTCCCGATGTGATCCGAGTGTCCGTGGGTGCCCACCACCAGCGTCACGTCTCCAGGGGCCACGCCCTGCCCCGCCAGGGCCCCCAGGAGCGCCTCCCGAGCCCAGGGGCCCCCAGTGTCCACGAGGATGGGGCCACGGGCCGCCTCTTCCAGGGCGGTCTTCGCCCCGCCGCTGTGGGGCGGGGACTCTTGGTGGCTGGAGGCTGAGCCCCAGGCCTGAGGCAGCACAAGCGTCACGGAGCCGTCGGCGCGTACCGCGTCGTCGACCCCCTCCGGCTCCGCGTAGCCCTGAAGCAGGACCACCACCGAGTAGGGGTGGCCGCGCACCAGCAGAGGCGGCTCCCCGCGCAGCGGCTCGGTCCGCACCGCAGCGCTCATGGCAGGATCGGGACGGCTGGGGAAGGGAAGTGCGGATGTGGGCGACTGCCCAGTCCCTTTGGGTTCCCACGTGCGCCCCGCCTCCTCCAAGTAGCACCTTCCAAGTCTGTTCTTTGCCACCCCCTAACTCCCTCAAGATGGTATCGCCCTAACCCCCCATCCGTAGATGGTATCGTCCAAGCTTCCCTTAGCTTGAACCCCGCCAGTCCCTCTGTTTTCGGCCGCCGCCACGCTTCTGTTGTGGTAGGTCCTCACCCATCATCCCTCAAAGGATATCCTCTTTATTTCCCTCAATTTTACCGAGGCGCTTCCCGCCTTGGACCTAGTTTCACCGCTTCTCCTAATTCTTGCCTCCCTGCAAGGTTAGACCAGTCCTCGGAAAAGCGCGCGAAATTTTGTCCTCTGCGAGCTCCCGTAAACCCGGAGTATGGTGGCCGAGACGCGCAGCCGGACGCGGTTTCGTAATTCCGGTGCATTCCCCGGCACGCGCCGAAAGGGTGGCACGGACCCGCGTCTAAATGGTTAGCAGCCGGGGCACCCCTGCCAGCCTCCCTGGACTGCAAATTACAAACCACCATTAGCTTCCAACAGCGGGCGACCAACGGCCCCATTCTCTGGGCGCTGCTATATCGGCCAGGTATGATGTGTGCAGGGAAGTTGTTTGAAACTAGGGGCCCAGGTGGTATTTTTAAAAATTTACTAGCGATGTAGAAAATTTGGCACCTGTGAAATTACATGGTGGGCCCTCGGTGAAATTTGTATGAAGTAGACCAAATATCTACCCCACCTAACTTAAAAACACCGCCCCATCTTCGTAGTGTCCCCTTTTTGTTCAGTTTCTTGGGTTGTAACCTTGACGCAGGCAGTGTGTATAGGTCGTAGAGAATGTCCGAGCTGGCTTCTTCCTTGTAAGGGTCTAAAAACGGACCCGGAGGACAAAGTGCCTTTCCCCTGAGACCCATAGCTCCAATGGCTTCACTGACCTCTGGGTGGGGTGGGAAGTAGTAGAGAGATTTAAAGGGGAAAGCCTTCAGCATTGTCACCACACACACACACACACACACACACCTGCCAGTTAAGGGGCTAGATGGCAGGCAGAGGACTCATCTGTTGGAGCAGGCCTTCTGCCTCCTGCTCCTGCTTTTGTCCCCATAGCCTTGCTGTGCTGCACCACCAGGATCCTACCTGAGACCAAACAGGAGAGAACAGCTACAAGCTCCGGGGTGGGATCACTCACACATACACACATGCCCTTATGTGGAGCATGGAGAGCTCAGATTTCAGAGGGTTCTTCTCCATGACTCCTGCCCCTCCTGGGGGCTCAAAGGCAAGAGTCAAAGATCCTCTGGGTCACGCTTGGAGTGCCCTGGTGTGTTGATCCTCTCTTCCTCCTCTTCCTCTTCTTCCTCCTCCTCCCCTTCTGTCTTCTCTTGCCCATCCGTGATCTTTTCCTTTCCAGTCCAAGTTTCCTGTAGACACGCTAGGTTGGGTGTTAGAAAAACAATTTAGATATTAGTCTGGTAGGTAGGGGAGGTTGGTTGTGGCTTGGCGGCAAAGGGGCCAGCCCCACACACTTACCAGTTTCAGCAGGGGGCAGCACATGACCTTCACAGAGAAAATGCTGTAAGGGCTGTTCCTGATGATGGAAGTACCAGTCTCCCACGACATCTTCGAACTCCTCCAGCATTGTCTCACACTGATCAAGTACAAGGGTCAGAAGGGAGTCTACTCTTCTGGGCTTTGGAAACCCTCCTTTCTGCTCTTCACTCCTGTCTGCCCACCCCACCCTGAAGAGCAGGAAGCTAAACTTGGCTTCCAGGGCAGTGATCCTCATTCATTCAAACAAACGTTTACTAGCACCTCTTCTGCCAAGTAGGCTATTAAACACTCTGTGTCTCAGATCCTTGCCTATAAAATGGGACATGGTACCAGTACCTACCACCTAAAGTTGTTGTGAGGGTAAAATGAGGCAGCAGCTGGAAAGTATGTGGGTCCAAATCTGGCACATAGTAGGTGCTCAGTATGTGGTAGTAAATATTATCAGCCTCTATTATTATTCCTTGATATGTTTCTGGGCCCACTTCAATCAATGACAGAGTCTTCATTCTGTCCCCTTCTCCCTGCTCAGAGGTGGACTTCCCAAGGATCTAGGTTCCCTTCTCGTTGCCCTGGGCAGTGCAGTATCATGTCCTACCTGCTTCTTGAGGAACGTGACTTCCACGCTGGGCTCGTCCCACAGCTCCAGAGGGATCCCCAGATCCACCTTCACCCCCTTCTGCACCAGACCTTTCAGCGTTGCCATGGTCTGACTCTGACCCTGAGAGATAGGAATCTGGGATCAGCCCAGCTCACTGCCCCACCTCCTTCCCCTTTCTGCCACAGCTGCATTGTGTCAACTACCATAGACTGAGGGGTGAACTCCATGAGGGCGACATGAGGGAGACTAACAATGGGGAGGGGACACTCTCCAGAGCCGGAGGGAGATGGGTCCCAGGGGATACCCACTGTTGTTTCTGAAAAGTGGGACGCTGCCCTAGGGAAGAGTCTGACCTTGGCATATCTCAGTGAGCCCTTGCGCTCGGCATGAACACTGTAATCCAGGATCCGGTCGCACAAATTCTCCAAGGCCTCTTCCAGCCTTGTCTCTCTGTGAGAAGAGGGGAAACAGAGATTTCTTAGACGCTGTAGGAGCGTCCCTCAGGGGTCAGAATGTAGAGGATCAACAAGAGTGACTCACGAAACACTGTAGGGGATGTGCCTCTTTCTCTTGCCAGTGTCTAGCACCTGCCTCAGCTCCAGCACCTCCCGAGATCGGCCAGTGCGACTCAGCTTTTCCTGCAGCTCCAGGCTCAGCAACTTACACACTAGATGTCCACAAGGATGTGAAAGATAAACAAACATCCCCACAACTCATTCTGTAGGTGAGCAAAAGCAGCAGACTCGAGCCAGACTGGCTGGGTTAGAATCCTGACTCAGCCACTTAATAGCTATGTGGCAATTCTGCTGTGCCTTGGTTTGTGCATCTCTACAACAGAGATCACAATAGCGCAGAACCTCCTTCGTAGGGGTATGGTGAGGATTAAATAAATCAAGCTCTGTAAAGCCCCTAGAATAATGCCTGGCATATAGTGGGCACTGCATAATGTTTGCTCTTATTCTGCAGTTATCTTTTGAGCTCCTGTATGCATGAGGGCAGTAAGACCCACCGTCCCTATCCACGGGACATTGCTGATGTAGTTGGGTAAAAATGATGACAGTGCGGTGTGATGGGCCCCACACTAGAGGTTAACAAGAGATTCGGTCTCTTTAGGAAACACAAAATGCATTCAGTGGTCTTTTACTGACTTGCTGCTAGCTTGTGATTTCCTTAAGGATGAGCACTGCGTCTGGTGCCGCCCTGTCTGCCAGCAATTAGCACCTGGCCTGGCACGAGGTGGGTCGCAAGAAAGGGAGTGGCCTACACGGAAGTACCGAGCAAGCTAAACACAGGGCAGGTAACAAAAGTGCCTAAGATGTTCCAGGCACTATGCTAGGACCTTGGAGACACAGGTACTCTCCTTCCCTCCAAGGGCTTACAATATAGTGGGAGGTGACAGAAAAGGAAGAAGGCTTCCAAAGGAATTGACATCTAAACTCGGTCTTGAAGAATCAAATATAGAAGGGAGAGGGTTATTTTAGGCCAAGGGAAAAAGTGTGCTGAGCCACAGAGCGCAAGGGGATAAGGCCGGCTCAGTGACAGCTGTGAAGTTCAATGTGGCTGAATCATGGGCACTTTGAGGCCAGGAGCAGAGGTACAGAAATATAAGAGCGGTGGGGGCCATACAGCAAAGAGACTTCTATAGTGTGCCCGAAACGGGTGTATTCTGATTGCAGCAGGAGGCCTGCAGAGGTGTTACAGCAAGGAGGAGAGGCGAGGTAGGCTCAGGTCATATGGAAATGCAGGGTGGGGTGGGGTGAGGAGAAAAAGAATCCAGGGAAGAAATTAAAGTCAGGAAGGAAACAAACCAGGGAACTCAGTGGTGCAGCTCTGGTATTTCCCCTTCCCCCACTTAGTCACCACTGTCATGCAGCCACATAAGACGCTGCTCACAGTAAAATCCATAAGTACACACCCTCCGCAAAACCTCACACGTATGGGGAACCTCCTCCATTTCTGGGGCCTCCTCTTTATGAGCTTCAGGGCGGTATTTACATACACCCAAACCCTCCCCACAGCGTGGGGCCTGTAATTTGAGAGCTTCCCTGCAGGGGTGGAGCACAGGATGTCCACAGGTATGAGCCTCACACCCAGCTCCTGCAGGCTCCCCAGGCTTAGGTTTAGTGTCATGGGGGAACACACTTTAGATGCTCAGTAGAGTAGGTGATCCCGGGCCTATAGTCTCTGAACTACAATTCCCACAGATCAGTGGGGCTACGCAAGCAAGAAAAAGCGGACTTCCTCTGGATGCCCTATGGGAATTGTAGTGCCACCGCTGTGGGGTAGCTCTATGCATTCCCTCCCTTGACCCCCCTTCAAATTCAGCCAGACTCCACCAGAATCTCCCTCAGGTCTTCAAGGAGATCGAGTGGCCCGCCAATCACGGTCCATTTGGTCCTGTCCAGACTAAGGAGATGGACTGAGGGATGCGAATAGGGGCCACTCCCTTTAGATACCTTCACATTTGCTGGGCAAGCGTTCTGTGTCATCGTCTTCCTCCTTCGGCGTCGCAACCCAAGCGCCATACACAGCCAAAATGAAAAGCAACATCCCCAACCGTACAGGTCCCATGACAAAGTGCTGTCCACAACCAACAAGCCCTTGCCTTCAGACCAACTTCGGGAAGGCAGCGGGCCCTTTAAATTCCGAGGGGGTCGGCGGGAATTTCCATCCAGCCTGGCCTGGGAGGCGCACGCGCAGTTCCGGGCCGGAAGGGGGTGGGGCCTCGTTGCCCTCCTGGCTATCCCGCCTAGGTTTTGTGGCGCTTCCTAGGGTCCTGGCCGCCGGGTGGTAAAAGTATAAACTGAAGTAATTGTAGCAGGAGGGTGTGCTCCTTGCACGTAGACGGAAAAATCCGTTTTTAATTCCACTTCAGGCCGTGAGCCCAGGAGACTCATTCCGGCTCGGGGAAGGGGCAGTGACTGCCTCTCCGTCTCTGCCAGGACCTGCTCCCGGGAGGGGGCGGGGCCAACATGGCGCCGAGCGCCGGGTGAGCGGCGCTTTGGCGGCGGTGAGAGACCTTTTCTGCGTGGGGCGTTCGGCTGGCGGGGGCGGGTCTGAGTGCCACCCGGGACTAGGCCCTTTGGGGGTCTATGTGGGAGCCTGGAGGAGGACGGTGGGTTGTGTGTCCGCGCGCGTGCGGACTCTCTGCGTGTGTGTTTGCACTGGAGGATGTTGGGGGGATAGGGTGGGCTCTCAGCACCTTCTTCCACGCTGTACCCCGTTGTCGGGGAGCTTCGACTCGCGTCCTTGCTGGGGAAGCCACTACCCACATCCAGTTCAAGTTAAGCCTCTTCTGTGAAGCTTTCCTGCCGGCTCCACTGACCCGAGGGGCTCCTGAGGTCGTAGCGTGTTTTGTGAGCTGTTACTGGCAGAGGGTACGGAGGATATTGAAGGCTTAGTAAGAGTTCGCCAGTGACCTCTGGGATACAACAGCGTCTTATATACCTGGCGCCAGGCACAGAGTATGCGTGGAATAAATGTGTTCCCTGAACATAAGGCAACAGTGGAGGAGGAGACCAAATTCTCTTTCGCCCCCGTGCTCACCCCTCCAGCACGCCCCCATCAACACCCCGCAGTCAGTCCTAAACACTTTTGACAGTAGTCTTCCTAGTGCCAACTAAAAGCGAGCCACTTTCCTTTTGGCCACAAAGCAGGTTCCAAGCTGGGACCTGTCTCTTGTTCATCTTGACAATCGTGGTACCGTGTATTTATTGAACACCTACATCTCTAAGGCTTATAATTCACTGATTTACTCAACAAATGATTTACTGAGTACAGATGCTCAGGTACCAGTGTGGGATCTTGTAATACATCGGTGAGCATACCAGATTTTTGTCCACACAGTTGGGGGGGTGTGGAAAGGGAAGGTGTGGTGGTGATAAACGATTAGAAATGATACAGTATCTATTAGTAGATGTTAAATACCTTGAAGGGGAAAACCAGAGTGGGATTGGAGTGTGGTGCTGAATAGGGTGATGGGAATAGGTAGCCGAGCTGGCATCTGGGGAAGAGCATTCGAGGCAGAAGGAAAAGAGCAAAGGTCATAAAGCAAGAGCTTACCTGGGAGGTTTGAATAGTAGGAAGACATTGGGGCTGGAACAAGATGGAAGAAAGAAGGAAAGCAGACCAGAGATGTAGGGAGAGGGCAAATTATGAAGGGTCTTATAGACTGTAATTAGAATTTTGGATTTTACTCTGTGGGAAATGGGGAACCCTTACAGGGTTTTGAGCAGAGAAATGACGTAGTCTGACTTATATTTTGACAGAATTGCTCTGGCCGCTGTGTTGGGAATAGATGTGGGGAGCAAGGATGGAAGCAGGAAGACCTTGTCAGGAGACTGTTAAAGTCAGCCAGGCAAGAGATGATGGCGACTTGGCCATGCAGTGGGAGTGGAGAATCAGGTTGGGTCACCTGGCCGATTTGATGTGAGGGCTTACGAAAAGAGTGAGTGCCTGGATAGACGGCATTGTCATGAAGATGAAGAAAAACGAAGCAGATGGAGAGGGAGATTTAGTTGTAGAAGTTGTAGGAGTTTAGTTGTAGAAGAGATTTTAAGTCGAGAGTTTGATACAAAAATCCGATGTTAGGAAAGAACATTCTTGGCTGAGGATATAAACTTGGCCGCTGTCAGCCTATTATCAGTACTAAAAATTGAGGGTAGTTGACATCACGAAAGGAGCACGTGTAGCTACAGAAGAAAACCAAAGACCGATCCTAGGACGCTCCAGCATTAGGCAGATGAGAAGAGGAAAAACTGGTCAAGGAAACTAAGAGGGGGTGGCCAGTGGGGTAAGAGGAAAGCCAGAAGGCAGTGGAGTAAGGAATTTTCAGGAGGGAGTAGTCAGCTATAGTGTGTGCTGTTCGCAGGTCAGTATGATGAGGAGGGAGAGTGGACCTTGGATTCAACAATGTGGAGTCATAGTGACCGTGATGAGTGGTTTCGGGGACCTGGTGGTGTCCAAAGCCTGCTTGGAGTAGGTGCAGAAGAGAGGAGAGGAATTAGAAAGTTAAGATAACTCAGGGAGTTTGGTTGCAAGGAGGAGCTGAAAACCTGGGTATATATTGGAGAGAAAGTAGAATGAAAAAAATATTGTTTTATATTTGTAATTGTGAAATACACAAAAGCTCACCATTCTAAACCAATTCAAGTATACAGTGTAGTGGGATTAAGTATGTTCACATCATTATACAACTGTCACACCATCCATCCTTCCAGAATTCTTCATGTTGTAAAGCTGGAACTCATTTGCCATCAAACACTGACTCCCCATTCTTCCCTGCCCTACCCGCGGCAACCCAGTTCCACTTGCGGAGTCTGTGAATTTGACTCCTCTAAGAACCTCATGTAAGTGGAATCATACATCATCTGTCCTTTTGTGGCTGTCTGATTATACTCACCATCGTGTCCTCAGGGTTCATCCATGGTATGGCACAGGTCCGAATCTCCTTCCTTTTTAAGGCTGAAAACTATTCCATTGCATGGATAGACCACCGTTTTGTTTTCTTAAGATGGGAGGAATAACCACATTTTGTAGGCTGGCAGGAATGACTGATTGGGTAGGTTGAAAACTTGGTGGTGATGCCGGGAGGAAGCAGTGTTGGGAATTGGTGAGGGGCCCACACAGCTTCTCTTAACAGGTCGGGGACGCCTGGGTGGTTAAGCGTCCAACTTTTTTTTTTTCCCCCTTTAAGATTATTTATTTATTTATTAATTCAAGAGGGAGAAGCAGACTCGCTACTAAGCAGGGATCCCAGACGTGAGGCTTAATCCCAGGACTCTGGGATCATGACCTGAACTGAAGGCAGATGCTTAGCGACTGAGCCACCCAGGCGCCCCAAGCATCCAGCTCTTGATTTCAGCCCAGGTCTTGATCTCAGGGTCGTGAGTTCAAGCCCTGTAATGGGCTCTGTGCTAGGTGTGGAGCCTACTTAAATATTTAAAGTAGCAGGTGGGGAGGCAGAGGAGGTGGGCGCCAGTGCTGTTAGGTCGGTAGATGTCGTGGGAATCTGTGGAGGTCTCTTCTGATGGCCTGAAGGAGGAGGAGAGGAGGTGTCACATAGGACAGAGGGAAACTGAGTGCACAGACGTGTCGCAGATGAAGAGTGATTGTCTGGCAGCGCGAGGGGTTCGTTTGAAGTTCACGGCCATGAGTTTAAAGTAAGACCTGGTCGGGGGCGCCTGGGTGGCTCAGTGGTTAAAGCCTCTGCCTTCGGCTCAGGTCATGATCCCAGGGTCCTGGGATCGAGCCTCACATCGGGCTCTCTGCTCAGCAGGGAGCCTGCCTCCTCCTCCTCTCTCTCTCTCTCTCTGCCTGCCTCTCTGCCTACTTGTGATCTGGCAAATAAATTAAAAAAAAAAGATTAAAAAAAAAAAAAAAAAAGTAAGACCTGGTCGGGATGGCTGTGTGTGTTCTTGTCACGCTCAGTTGTATGGGTGTATGGGCTCAGAGCGGGAGCGTCGTATCTGTTACTGCGTGTGTGTCAAGCACGAATAATGGTGCAAGAAGGGGCAGGAGAGGCGCAGGTGTACACAAAACCGCCTCCGGAAACCAGGCCTGTTCCGCATCCCAAATACGGGGAAGAAATCCAGAGCTGGGAGAATGTCAGTAATTTGCCCAAATAACCCAGCTAGGGAATCGAGGGCCAGAATTTCCACCGAGGCCACGTCTGTTCACCGTGCCACACTCACCCGGCACCGGGCACAGGATCGGAGCTCAGTACACTGTGTGCCACTGCGGATTGCTACCTGCTTCTGTTACCCTTGGTGCTGACTTATTTATTTATTTTTTTAATCTATTCTGCCCGCCCCATCCACCTGCCAGGGTCTCCATCTCTCCACCCTGGGGTGTCACTCTTTGGGGGAGGGAAGGCGGGGCTCCAGAATGGCCGAGGAGAAGAAGCTGAAACTCAGCAACACGGTGCTGCCCTCGGAGTCGATGAAGGTGGTGGCCGAGTCCATGGGGATCGCCCAGATTCAGGAGGAGACCTGCCAGCTGCTGACCGATGAGGTCAGCTACCGCATCAAGGAGATTGCCCAGGTAACCTGACCCGTCCGCCCAGCCGTGCATCGTGTCAGGGCCACGCGGCCCAGGACCCTTCTTCAAGCTGGCAGGCTGCTATCGGTCTGTCTCCCACCCCCCAGGATGCCTTGAAGTTCATGCACATGGGGAAGCGGCAGAAACTCACCACCAGTGACATTGACTACGCGCTGAAGCTAAAGAATGTTGAGGTGATCGGGACACCATAGGGTTGAGGCAGGCACGGGGCGGGGGGCAGCAGCAGGGCGGTGAGACCCGTCCTCCCAGGTGCTACATTTGCCTTCAGCCATGTCTCCTCGGGCTCCCTTCTTATCCCGGTGTCTCTCTCCTCCTATAGCCACTCTACGGCTTCCACGCTCAGGAGTTCATTCCTTTCCGTTTCGCCTCTGGCGGGGGCCGGGAGCTTTACTTCTACGAGGAGAAGGAGGTTGATCTGAGCGACATCATCAATACCCCTCTGCCCCGGGTGCCCCTGGACGTCTGCCTCAAAGGTCAGGGGTGGGGAGAGCAAGGTGGTGGGGAGGAGGGAAAGGGGGTAGGGCTCGCAAGTGGAGAAGCCCGCTGCGTGAGATGGCTGGTGACTTGCAGGAAGTGGGAGCTGCACAGGGGGGCTCCTTAGTGTCCGTGTCCAGCCCGCAGTTCAACTTGACGCCTTCTTTCCTCGCAGCTCATTGGCTGAGTATCGAAGGCTGCCAGCCGGCCATCCCAGAAAATCCGCCCCCAGGTAACCTTGTCCAGAAACCACCCCCTCTATCTCACCTCCCCTCTCCTTCCTTTCCAACCCCTGCCACTCTTGTCACCCCTGCTGTGACTGCTTTGCCACCAGCTCCCAAAGAACAGCAGAAGGCTGAGGCCACGGAACCCCTAAAGTCAGCAAAGCCAGGCCAGGAAGAAGATGGGCCCTTGAAAGGCAAAGGTCAAGGGGCTGCTCCAGCCGACGGCAAAGGTCAGTACTGCTAGGCCAGGCCTCCCCTGGCTCCTGTGCCAGAGCCAGATGGTGAGCTGTGAGGAGGCTGAGGGCTGGGCAGGGGGCGAGACCTGTGGCGAGGGAGCCCTGAAAGGAGCCGGGCCCGGGTCTCACTGGGTGGGGAGCACAGGTTTGTCTTGTCCAAGGCCTCTCCTGGAGCTTTTGTTTTCAAACCTGTCTTCCCGATTCACCCAGGGAAAGAGAAGAAGGCACCACCCCTGCTGGAGGGTGCCCCTTTGCGGCTGAAGCCTCGCAGTATCCACGAGCTGTCTGTGGAGCAGCAGCTGTACTACAAGGAGATCACCGAGGCCTGCGTGGGCTCCTGTGAGGCCAAGAGAGCGGTGAGGCCCCACTGCCCCCGCCCCCCGGGTCCCTTCCTCCCCAAAGTCCCGGGGATCCCTGCCCGCCGCCCCGCACTCACTCCCTTCCCCCACAGGAGGCTCTGCAGAGCATTGCAACGGACCCGGGGCTCTATCAGATGCTGCCGCGATTCAGCACCTTCATCTCGGAGGGGGTGAGCGCAGGCAGACGGCCGGGACGGAGGAGCAGGTTCCGGGTGGTGAGGCGGCGCTGGGGGAGCTCACCCGAGGGCCTCACTGTCCCGTCATGTCTCCCCACAGGTCCGTGTGAACGTGGTGCAGAACAACCTGGCCCTGCTCATCTACCTGATGCGCATGGTGAAGGCGCTGATGGACAACCCAACGCTGTACCTAGAGAAATACGTGAGCCGCCCTGCCCGCCCCCCCTTGCCCCACCAGGGTCGGGACACCTTGCCGCCGCCAACGAGAAGCCGTTTGTCTGAATCCACCAGCTCTCGCCTTCTTCCTTAGGTGCACGAGTTGATTCCGGCTGTGATGACATGCATTGTGAGCAGACAGCTGTGCCTACGGCCAGATGTGGACAATCACTGGGCCCTCCGGGACTTTGCTGCCCGCCTTGTGGCCCAGATCTGCAAGCATTTCAGCACGACCACTAACAACATCCAGTCCCGGATCACCAAGACCTTCACCAAGGTGAGCAAGAAAGAGGAGCGTGGGGGCGCCCGGGCGGCTCAGCGGGCTGGGCGCTGGGCTCTTGATTTCAGCTCAGGTCATGATCTCGGTCGTGGAATTGAGCTCTGGTGGCCCGCGCTCAGCAGGGAGTCTGCCTGAGAGTCTCTCTCCGTCTGCCTCTGCCCACCACCTCCCCCTCAAATTAGTAAATAAATCTTAAAGAATGAGGAGTGTAAACAGTTTCGCCTCTCCAACCCAGGTTGGTGACCAGGACAAAGGTCTTCAGCCAAGCCAGAGGCCAGTCAGTGTGGAGCGAGGAAAGGACACTGAAAACACAGGGCAGAGGGGCAGGGCCTCGAACTTGGGCCTTCTCTGTAATGCCTTAATGATCCACAATAAAAGCGTATTCATGAGACTTGGTCCTCAATAGTCTCTCAGGCCCCCCCTTTTTTTTAAGATTTTATTTATTTGACACAGAGATCACAAGTAGGCAGAGAGGCAGGCAGAGAGAGAGGAAGGGAAGCAGGCTACCCACTGAGCAGAGAGCCCAGTGCGGGGCTCAATCCCAGGACCCTGGGATCATGACAGGAGCTGAAGGCAAAGGCTTTAACCCACTGAGCCACCCAGGCGCCTCCTTGCAGGCCCCTTGACCCAGGTTTCTTTTCCTTCCCCAACAGAGCTGGGTGGACGAGAAGACTCCATGGACCACGCGTTACGGCTCCATCGCTGGCCTGGCAGAGCTGGGACACGATGTGAGGCCCCGGGAGTGGGGGGAGCGTGGGGGAAAGGAGCTATCCTGGGTCCTAGTGAGCAAGAGCCCCACCCAGGAGACCCCGTGGTGACCCCAGGTTCCTGGCTTCACCTTTCCAACAGGTGATTAAGACTCTGATTCTGCCACGGCTGCAGCAGGAGGGGGAGCGGATCCGCAGCGTCCTGGACGGCCCTGTGCTGAGCAACATTGACCGCATCGGAGCTGACCATGTGCAGAGCCTCCTCCTGGTGACCAGAGCCCCCATCCCTGCCCTGACTGCCTTCTTCGCTCTTCTACCCTCCCCCCCAACACTGTCTTCAGCCGGGGTTGGCTTTTATTCCCTCGTCCCGTCCTTGCCTCATATATTCAGAGCCCAGTACTGTTGTGCAGATGGAGACCAAGGCGCTGAGAGGTTAAGTAAGAAATAAGAGATCGTAACTCTCAGCCCAGGACGTCCCCTAGTCGGGATTGCCCAGGGCTTCTGCATCACTGTGCTCCGTTCCGTGTAAGGCCTCACCCTATGGACCAACCACCCCTTAGAAATCACCAGTGTATTCAGCAAGCCTCCCAGTCACACCAGTGGGTGCTTGTTCTCTTCTGAAGAAAAGCCAGTGGCCCTCACACACAGGGTGACCCCAGCAGTCCGGCCTGTGTCAGCAGCATATTGAAATACAGGCGTCACCTCCTCACCCTTTCCCTGTCCCACTTCCCGACGGGCCCGCCCTCCACCTACTGGCTTTTTGCTTTCTCTGCAGAAACACTGTGCCCCTGTGCTGGCAAAGCTGCGCCTGCCACCTGACAATCAGGATGCTTATCGAGCAGAATTTGGGTCCCTCGGACCCCTCCTCTGCTCCCATGTTGTCAAGGCCCGGGCCCAGGCCGCCCTGCAGGCTCAGCAGGTCAACAGGACCACTCTGACCATCACTCAGGTCTGTGATGGCGGCGGTGGCGGCCGGGGGTGGGTGAAGAAACGTGGAGGGCGGCACTCAGACTTGAGCTCGCTTTTGGAAAACACAGGGCCTCTGAGAGAATAGTGTTGGGGGGAGTCTGGGCCCCCTTCGTGGAGGATTCCCCAACCCCAGGGAGACCCGCCGAGGAGCAGCAACAGGGGCCTTTCCTTTTCTTAGACGTTGACATTTTCTTCCCGCCTCTCCTTCCTGCAGCCCCGGCCCACGCTGACCCTCTCACAGGCCCCTCAGCCCGGCCCTCGCACCCCTGGCTTGCTGAAGGTCCCAGGCTCCATCGCGCTGCCGGTGCAGACGTTGGTGTCTGCGCGAGCTACTGCCCCGCCTCAGCCGTCCCCTCCTCCGACCAAGTTTATTGTAATGTCATCCTCCTCCAGCGCCTCCTCCACCCAACAGGTACTGGGAGCCATGTGGAACCAGCGGGGAGAGGGGGAGAGCATGACCAGGGTTACCTCCAAGTACCTTGGGGGCCCCAGAGTAGAGCCCAGTTCCCTCTGGGCCCAAAGACGAGAGCAGGAAGGGGCATTCTGAGGAGGCCCACGAGGCCATGGCCGCTCGTCCTGAGCAGCGCTCTTGGGCTGGCAGCAGCCTCCAGGCTCCCCCAGGCAGCGCCTTTCCTTCCCTCCCCCAGGTCCTGTCCCTCAGCACTTCAGCCCCTGGCTCAGGCTCCACCACTACCTCTCCGGTCACCACCACAGTCCCCAGCGTGCAGCCCATCGTCAAGCTGGTCTCCACTGCCACCACCGCACCCCCCAGCACTGCTCCGTCCGGGCCCGGCAGCGTCCAGAAGTACATCGTGGTCTCTCTCCCCCCTACAGGGGAGGGCAAAGGAGGCCCTGCCTCCCACCCTTCTCCAGCTCCTCCCCCATCCTCAGCCCCCTCCCCGCTTGGGGGCAGTGCCCTGTGTGGGGGGAAACAGGAAGCTGGGGATAGCCCCCCTCCGGCTCCAGGGACTCCGAAAGCTAATGGCTCCCAGCCCCCTGGGTCTGGCTCCCCTCAGCCTGCGCCTTAATGCTGTTGCACATCTGCCAACTTTCTTCTGTCCTCAGCTCTCTCTCTCTCTCAGGCGTGCGTGTGGGGTCGAAGGAAGTAATAGTTTGCTTCCTCTGTGTTACTTTTTTTTTTTTAAATTGTACAGCCAGTTCCTCAGAATAAAAGTCTGATTTGTAAGTTCTGATCCACCTCGGCCCTTCCTGTGTCAGGTACCACTGGAAGGTGGAGCCTGCCGACCTGGCCTCGTCTCCGGGCCTCTCAGGACTCTCCAGCCAGATCCACAGCCACGGGCCCAAGGTGGGAAAGACAGGGTTGTCCTCTCCAGCTCCACAGACGACCACCTTTGCTGCCTGTGTCCTGGTCTGGGGAGCCTCAGATCCGGATAACGTAAGCATCGCTGTGGCTCAGGTGTCGCACCCACTTGTGGGGGTTGGCGTTGCCGCAGGGTCTGAACGCCAGCCTGAGGAAGCGAACCTGGAGGCCGGAGCACGTGTGCCGGGGAAGTTCAAACGAGAGGCTGGCAGGGCCCAGACCCAGAGGGGCCGAGGTGGAGGGTCCTTGACCGGGAGGCCCGGGGAGACCTGGAACATCCATCTGTAAGGAACAGAGACTGGGAAGGAGTGCTGAGGCCTGGAGAGGATGGAGAGCAGGGAGGCCCACCGTGTGAGGAGGGACAGGTTGGGGCTGAATGTGCAGGCGGAGGAGAGGATCAGAGAGTCAGCAACTTGTACCTGGAAAAGGCCTGACAGCTGGGAGCCGCCCTGAACCCGAGGCAGGTGCCAGTGAAGGGCGCCCTCCCCCAGCTCTGCCTTCTGCTCGGGGCCGCTCAGCTCCTGAGACAGGCTGGAATTTGGAGAAACGCTGGGCTCAGTCCCTGCCTTCCCGGGGCAGGCCAGTTCCACCCTTCCCGGGGCCACCCTCTCGTCCAGGGAAGCGGGTGCAACTGCCCGAGCCCCCGTGGCTCACCCACTAACCTGACCACCCCTCGTGGCAGGGGAAGGTGCAGCCTGACATTGAGAGCTTGGCTGCAAAGGAAAAAGGAACAGAGTCAGCCCCGTTCTTCATTAACATCACAGCTAGGGATCAGCACCAGTGCTACCCCGTCCCCTTCCCGAGCCCTCCTGCCTCTAACTGAACAGGATTCTGAAGCTGGCGGATGCATGTGAAGGCAGGAGCAGTAGGTATGTGGGCCCTGTGTCCTTCCCCACAGAAGGAGCTTGGCTAACCCCCGCCTGTACCTTTTTGGGGGCAGGTCGCATCGTAACTTCAGGTAAACCTGGAGCCTGGGTGGAAGGGCACGATGGTGTTACTGGCAGCTCACATCCTCCCTCTCCCCCCCCTGCCCCCCACAACCCCGGGACCTCCATGCATGGCTGCTGGTGGGTCGTGCCCCAAGCAACGGTTCCACTAAGGGCTGAATCCACGTTGGGGGGAGGGTGTCTTTTTCTGACTTATATCCTGTTACCACCACTCCTCCATAATGAGTTTTGGGAACATCTTTGTATTAGCTTAGACTTCAGAGAAGTTCCAGAACAGGGAAATGGTCTCACCTGCCTGAGCCTCGGTCCCACTGCACAGAGGGAAAGAGCCGGAAGGGGAGTGGGGAGGGGAGGTCATCTGAGAGTTGGTACCGCATCACAGTCAGCTGGGACCAGACAAGAACAGAGATCAGTTTGGTCTCCTCGCCCCTGAACTGCCTCCCTTCCCCATAGTGGATGGAACATGCTAGGCCAGCCTGATCCTCACCTCGCCCTGAGGGGGCTGTAGGCGCAGAATTCGATGAGACTCAAACTCTTCCAGAAGCACTGAGCTGTGAAAGGAGACCTCATCCACCCGGATCCCCGGTCCGTAACCTGGAAGGAGAGAGAGTCTCTTGGAACCCACGTGTGGGAGAGGAGAGCAGCCAGGAAGAGCTGGACGAGAACGTGTCTCTGTCCCACGCCGCTTCTGGCTGGTGATGCAGGAGCGAGAGACCTACTTTCTTCTCACCTCTCAGTTCTGACTTCCCCACACAAAATTCTTCTGTCAGACCAATGCGCATTTCTGTCAGAGAAAAGGATGTCAGAAAAGGCTGCCAGATACCACCATACACAGCACCAAGGAGCCTGTCCCAGACCCCACCCTGGGCCAAGCTTGCACGCTTCTCACCAGAGCCACTGGGAAGAAAGCTCTTGAGCCGGATCTCTCCCTGCACGTCTACCTTCAGCAGTGAGCCCTAAGAATGGCAGAGAGCTCAATGCCCAGAGGCGGCACCCCCCAATGCCCCATACATTTTCCAAATGCCGTCTGTCCTCAGCTTCAGGGTTGGGGGCCCAGACTTACATTAGAGGCTATGAGCACGGACAACCTCTCGACCACATCCAAAAACACTTCGTTCTTTTGGCTCTGAGGAAGAGAGATTTGGACGCTTGGAGGCTGAACGGCCTGTGTCCTCAAGTGGACAGGCAGAAAGAACAGGGCAGTGGAGGCTAGAACCCTGGGGTGGGGACACGGGGGTAAGGGAAGAGGTAATCCACACCTAGCAATGCAAGGATCTCCATCTCTGGCGTCCCAGGAAAAGATTAGAGGGTCTGAACCCATCACACCTGTCCTCACCTGGTCAGAGCGGCTGGCCAGGACTGGGCGGCTGGCTGCACTGCTGGGGGCCACTTTGCTCTGCTGCGTCTCTGCCCCGAACTGGAAAGCACCCAAAGCAACAATCTTCAGGTTTGACGCCATCCACCAACCCTCCTCCTCCTCCTCCTCCTCCTCCCCTTGACTAACCAAGCCAACACTGCTGAGGTCAAAAAGGCTGAAGGGCTTGCTGACCACAGCCTCTGTCTGAATGAAGTTTCGCAGCATCTCCATGGACGTGGTCTGTACGTAGCCATAGTCCTGCGGGCGGAGGAAGGACAGTCGTTGGGTGATCAGCGGAGGAAAGGGGTGAAAATGAATGCACTCAGCCTCCCCATCACAGCACACAGCAGCAGGGCATGGAGTGCCATGGGGGAGACCCCCTGGCCCTCACCAGCACTTCATCCAGGAGTTCGTAGACAAGAGCCACGTTGCGGGAGATGGTCCCCTCATTCAAGGAGCCACAGTAATCGCCCAGGAGAGTGGCCAACCTGAGAAAACAGGACGGACGGAGTGTGCATATCCTCTTGCGCGTGCATACCCGCGCCCAGGTGCCCGACCCTGCCCTCCTCACCGGGAGAGCAGCTCTAGGAGGCTGAAGGGAGAAATGTTTTCTGAAGTCGTGGCCACCAAATAGAGGCCGCTGTGTCTGATGTGAATGAAATGACGGTCATCGTGGTGCTGAGGCAGAGGCGGGGAAGAGAGCGTCAGGGAGAGAACTGTGCGAAGGGCCCGCGATACTTTCTAGCGGTGGGCCTTGGGGTGAGCCAGGGACACCCCCAACCCCGCCCGGGGCCCAGCTGTTTATGTGTCAGCGGAGGGAGTCCCCAGCACCTACTCCGGAGTGGCGGAGCTGCGCCCGTATAGCGTTAGCGCTCCAGAAACTGTTGTTCGGATTATTTGGCAGAATGTACCCCTCCCCCCCACCAAGCACAAGCTCTCAGGGAAACAGCCCCGGGAGGAAGGAGGCGCCCCCCAATCCCAGCTCGCCGGGAGCCTACCCCACGCCCCGCCACTGGTTACCATGACAACCGGGGACTCATCTCCGGACAGTCCCGTCAGCTTCCGGTAGAAGAGCTCGGCCACATCCCGACCGCCACTGTCCCCGCGGACTGACCGGATGGAAGGACAGCTAAGGAGTCAGCGACACAGGCTGGCTCTGGGGCGCTACTCCCACCCAGGCCCCTCCTCCCGCCCCGCAGGTCAAGGATACAATCCTTGTAGATGAGCGGGTCCCCTTTGGAAGACAGAATGAAGAACTGGGAGATCATGGCGGTTCCGGAGAGTAGGCGAGGAAACTGCGAAAGTTGGGCCTGCCCCGCCTTGCGGCCCCGGAACAAAAGGACGCGAGGAGGCTGGCCCTTTAAGAGTGCTCTCTCCTCGGCGGGTGCCAGCTCGGACCGCGGGAAACCCGGTGCCCGCCCCGCCCCGTCCCGCCTTTTCCTCCAGGTGCCCGCGATGCTGCCCCGTCACTCAGTCCACGCTCGCCCGGTAATTGGCCGAGGCTGGGGCCTGCGGGCGAGTGGGAGGGGCGAAGAGCCTCCTCTCTGATAGGCCTGCTCGCAGCGGCGCCGGTCACGTGGGGTGCGACGTTTCGCGCCAATTTCGGTTGGTCTTGAGTAGCCCGCCGCGCGGACGCTTTCTGCCGTCCCAGAAGTGAGAACCTTGAACTCGCCAACTGCTGCCGCACGGGCAATGGCAGTTAAGGACTACGTGCTCGAGAAAGGTGAGGGTGTGCAAACTTGGGAGGAGCGTCCTGCGCAGGAAGCCTTCCGGCCAACACCTGTTGATGTGAACCGGCGTCCTGGGGGTCTGGGGTCGGCGCGCGAGGCCAGAGGCAGGGTCGGGAGGCGGCGGGGCGAGGCAGACGGTGCCTGGGAGGCGCGCGGGCCTTCGAGGTCGGAGAAGAGTCGATCATCTTGTTTGGGGAAGGAGTGGGGGTTCGCGGGGTGTGGGGGGTCTGATAGCCGGGCTGGGGGCTCCATAGGAGAGGGTCGCGCCCAGGAGAAACCAAGAGCTCCGGAGACCCTGTCCAAGGGCCCTGCGTCCCCAGGGACGGGCACCCCGGGTTCGCTTTCCTCCGCGCCCTTAAGCATTCGGAGGGCCCGCGTCCTTCGGAGACGCGCCGGAGTCCCGGGGGCGGGCGGGCCCGGGCCGCTGCGCGTCGGGATTGGCCACTTTAGGCCAACCTCCAAGCGGAAGTGAAGGCGGGCGGAAGTTGCGCGACGTCGCTGGAGGGAGTGTCGTGTGTAAACAGTGTCCTTCCGCGCGGCGGCCCTGGAGAGAGCGGCTCGGGGCCGGGGCGTGCCTGGAACTGGGGGGCTTCGCGGGAGCCCAGGGGAGGAGGTGGTGCGGCGACACGGCGTGGCCTTTGACGAGCCGGCCAATCGCCGGACGGGCTCCCGCCTTGGGCGGAGGAATCCCGGGCTGTGAGGCGGCTGCATCTGGGCCCATGTGCTTCTTTGTTTACTAAGAGCGGAAGCAGTGGCGGGAGAGGGGGTGGGGTGGAGCACGGGCCTAGTGGAGAGGTTGAGGAGCCCGAAAGAAAAGGGGGACTCTTAGGCGTGGAAGAAAAGCTGAGAACCTTGAGCTCGGAGTGTGCGGCGGGGTGTGGGAGCCCTTTGGGAAAGGGTACTGAGAATTTTAACTAAGAGCCTGGAATTCCCTGGGGGCGGGCGTAGGTTGTTGGGTAATGCTCTGACTGCCCGGGGCCCCTTCTTCCGTAGGTAAGAACGGACTTGTAAGGAGGAGTTCTGTCCTACTTGGGGAGAATTACAAAGGCTTTCTTCGATGTTCATGTAAACTGATTACTTCATACATTTTGTAATTGAGAAGCGAGTTTTTTAGGTTTGCGTCAAGGGGTTTTTTGGCAAAGTATCTGAAAGACTGATTCTGGTGATCTTACATTTTTCTTCCAGAAAAGGTTAAGAAATTCCTACAGGAGTTTTACCAGGATGATGAATTTGGCAAGAAACAGTTCAAATATGGGAACCAGTTGGTAAGTTTAAGACTAAGTGGAGGGAATGGGTGTTTGCTTAAGGAGTTGTAAGAGGTGTTCCGGTTAATTTCCTTAAGTATATGTTGTAAGTGATCGCTGGAGTGTTCTATTTAATACTTAGTAAGTGGGTGTAGTTGTGCATGTTTAAAGATCATAGTGTTTGGATGTTTACATCGGCTTCTTGTACCTTCCTCCTTGCCCGCGGGCTTTCTCCCCTATAGAGTTAGGATGTCTTTGGGGGGGCTGAGAAGGGAGTATTGCTTGGTCTTTCCCCGCTATGGTGGGTGGACATTGCCAGGCCCGGTAAAGCGTGGCTCTGTTGCTGTCTCTTCTTGCCGCAGGTTCGACTGGCTCATCGGGAGCAAGTGGCAATGTACGTAGACCTAGACGATGTAGCTGAGGACGACCCGGAGTTGGTGGACTCAATCTGTGAGAACACCAGGCGCTATGTAAGGCTCTTCGCCGACGCTGTGCAGGAGCTCCTTCCTCAGTATAAGGAGAGGGAGGTGAGTGGTTGCAGAAAACCGCAGGGCGAGGAACAGGTTGCTTTTGGGACGCTTCTCAGATACTGGTGATTTTCTTGCTGCAGAAAGAGAGCAGTCAGTTCTGCCTCATGCCCTTCATGGTCTTTACTTACCTCATCCAGCTCGTTTTTCTCGTCTTTCTTTAGGTAGTAAACAAAGATGTTTTGGATGTTTACATCGAGCACCGGCTGATGATGGAACAGCGTAGCCGTGACCCTGGGGCAGCCCGAAGCCCGCAAAACCAGTACCCCCCTGAGCTCATGCGCAGATTGTGAGTGGTCGCTGTGGGGGAGGCTGTGGGAATTTGCTCTCCAGGACGTTAATGTGACCATTTTCTACACTTAGCGAGCTGTACTTTCAAGGCCCGAGCAGTAACAAGCCTCGTGTGATCCGGGAAGTGCGGGCTGACTCTGTGGGGAAATTGGTCACTGTGCGTGGAATTGTCACTCGTGTCTCTGAAGTCAAACCCAGAATGGTGGTGGCCACTTACACTTGTGACCAGTGCGGAGCGGAGACTTACCAGCCGGTATGTATAGAGCAAGGAATAGAAACACATTTAATTGGTGATTTTGCCCAGAATTAGTTTGTGTGCTGGTATTTATTTGTCGTTTATTATGTTCTTGTAAAACGTGACTGTGTTCACTTGTCGGTCTTTTTCTGGTCTGTAGTGGTCGTTTCATCTGTTTTGTGTTCTTTGTTCCTATCATCATTTTGCTCAGGACAGGTCAAGACATCCTTCACCGTTTGTGGTGTGTGCTGTGAGGAGGAAGTGTTCGCTTAGGTGACTGACTTCGTTTCCTTCTGCTTTCCCTTTCTTACATCCCAGATCCAGTCCCCTACTTTCATGCCTCTGATCATGTGCCCGAGCCAAGAGTGCCAGACCAACCGCTCAGGAGGGCGGCTGTATCTGCAGACGCGCGGCTCCAAATTCATCAAATTCCAGGAGATGAAGATGCAGGAACATGTGAGTTTGGGGTACAGGGCCCAGGAAAGGGGAGTTGAGGTGTCCACTCAGGTTCCGCAGCCACTCGCAGAGCGGAGGGAAGAAAAAACAGAGAGGCTGAGGCAGAGGGGTGACCTAGAGCAGGAGGGAGATTTGGCGAAGATGATCTCGGGGTCCCTTCTCTTGGCTCCTCAGGCTGAGAAGCGCGGTGGGATGTGTAGGCCCAGAAGATGAGGGCCTCGTCGGCTTCATGTACCTTCCTCCTTGCCCGCGGGCTTTCTCCCCTATAGAGTGACCAGGTGCCTGTGGGAAACATTCCTCGGAGCATCACCGTGCTGGTAGAAGGCGAGAACACGAGGCTTGCCCAGCCCGGGGACCACGTCGGTGTCACCGGCATCTTCTTGCCGATCCTGCGCGCTGGGTTCCGACAGGTCGTACAGGTAGGAAAGGGGCTTGAAAGGAGGAAAGATGTGCTTTTCTTTGCCTCCACTCTCGCCACCTCCCCCCCCCCAGAGAGAACCGGCAGTGGCAGAGCAGCACAAAGGCCAGTGAAACGACCTTCATCCTTGTCCTGGCGTTTTCCTGCCCAAGGGTCTCCTCTCTGAAACCTACCTGGAGGCCCATCGGGTCGTGAAGATGAACAAGAGCGACGACGACGAGGCTGTGGCTGGCGAGCTAAGCGCGGAGGAGCTGAGACACATTGCAGGTGAGGGGCCTGGGGGAGCCTGGGAACGGGGTTTTCTTTCTGGATCCCCCGCATCCCCCCAGCAAGTACTCTAAACTGTCCCACAGAGGAGGATTTCTATGAGAAGCTGGCGGCCTCCATCGCCCCAGAGATCTATGGGCACGAAGACGTGAAAAAGGCTCTGCTGCTTCTGCTGGTGGGGGGGGTCGACCAGTCTCCTCGGGGCATGAAGATCAGGGGTGAGGCCGGGCGGAGGGGAAGGGGGGGGACAGGGCAGGTGGGAGGGAGCCAGAATGTCAAGGGTCAGCTTCCCGTGACAAGTCAAATCTGGGACCTCTGTGTCACAGAATAAGAGAGCACGCGGGCTTCGTGGGCACGGGGGCAGGAGAAGGAGCGCTGGCTGTCGGGGGGCATCTCGGGAGTATGTGTTGTCGGGCAGCGCGCTGGAGAGAAGGGGTCAGCTGGAGTTCAACCCTTCTTCCAGGCAACATCAACATCTGCCTGATGGGGGACCCCGGTGTGGCCAAGTCTCAGCTCCTGTCTTACATTGATCGCCTGGCGCCCCGCAGTGAGGAACAACCCTGGGAGGGGTGAATGTACCAGACAGCAGGGCTGCGTGCTGCTCTTTTCCTTGCGGGTGGGGGAGGGGACGTGGTTCCAGAGCCAACACTCCCATTTTCAGGGGCCTTGGGAAGGCCTGGACCTGGGGGGCCGGTAGAGCGGTTTCGCTTCGGGCCTCCCCTCCATCCTGTTCTCGCTTCTTCCCTTATTCTTTTCCTCTTCTTCAACGTGTCTGCTTTTTCCCTGTTCCTGATGCTGCCGTTTAGGCCAGTACACCACGGGCCGGGGCTCCTCGGGAGTGGGGCTCACAGCAGCTGTGCTCAGAGACTCGGTGACCGGAGAGCTGACCTTGGAGGGCGGGGCCCTCGTGCTGGCCGACCAGGGCGTGTGCTGCATCGACGAGTTTGACAAGATGGCTGAGGCCGACCGCACGGCCATCCACGAGGTCATGGAGCAGCAGACCATCTCCATTGCCAAGGCCGGCATTCTCACCACGCTCAACGCCCGCTGTTCCATCCTGGCTGCCGCCAACCCTGCCTATGGGCGCTACAACCCTCGTCGCAGCCTGGAGCAGAACATACAGCTTCCTGCTGCGCTGCTCTCCCGATTTGACCTCCTCTGGCTGATCCAGGACCGGCCTGACCGGGACAATGACTTACGGTAAGTGGAGCTCAGCGCTCCAGGACACACCGCCCTAGTGTTCCATAGGGAGGGAGAAGGTGTCCCTGCTTATGGGAGCTCTGGAGCCTTTCCCTCTTACATGGGAGCTGGTCCTCGCTTCTTCAGGGAGATAGGGAGTCGGGACTAAAACCCCAGTGAGGATTCCACACTGTGAAGAGCTGGTGGGCTGAGCCGCGGGTAGAGGGA